CCAGTTCCTTCTCCCATCGATCAGCAGGGAACAGACCTGGAGAGTATTAACTTGTAGCTTCCTGGTAAAGCTGTATCTATGGCATACCAATGTTATCTGGTCTTCCCTTTACTCCCTTTCTGTTAAATAATAACCAGATTGTTATGGTATCACTTAAACCTGTGCTTTCTACCTTCTTTATATGCCCCCTTTGTCTTTTTTCTATCTTTTTTTTTTTATCCTCACCCGAGGACAATATTTTTTTTTCATTTTTTGTTCAGAATAGAGTGGGAGGGAGAGAGAGGAAGAGTGAGAGAAACATCAGTGTGAAAGGTACACATCGAGCGGCTGCCACCTGCACGACCAACCAGGGCTGGGGACAAACTGCAACTGAGATACGTGCCCTTAGCCGGAACTGAACCCAGGTCTCTCTGGACCGCAGGCCAATGCTCTAACCACTGAGAAAAACCGGCCAGGGCTTTTCTATTTTTCTTAATGGCTCAGTTCAAATCCTTTTCTTCTTAATACTAATTGTCTTCTTTACCACTCATTTTGGCACTTAGCATTTATAGCAGTTATTTTCATGTGCTGTCTTCTTTTTAAGTCCTCACTCGAAGATATTTTTCCCATTGATTTTTAGAAAGAGTGGAAGGGGAGGGAGGGAGCAGGAGAGGCAGAGGGAAAGAGAGAAGAGAGAAACATCAGTGTGAGAGAGAACATCGATTGGTTGCCTGCTGCAGCACCGTGATTGGGGTCAGGTGTGGAACCGGCAACCCTTTGGTGTGTGGCCAATGCTCTTAACGACTGAGCAACACCGGTCAGGGTTTTATGTGCTATTTTTGATAAAGACAGTCTTCTAGAAGGCAAAGGGGACTCACTGTTCTTGGGAAAAGCAGTTTAGTAAAGGAACATTGGGCTTGCAGTCAGTGATCCTTGGTTCAAGCCTAGTACCAGCTATTGCTATCCTGTTGGAATGGCTAATTAGTTCCATGGTTCACACTCATGCTATTTTTTTTTTTTTAGCAAATGGTTGTTCAGCCACACCCTAGTATTCTTTATAGAACAAGCTTTCTTATTTTTTGCAATATGGATAGACTTGAGTATTTTCTAAATCTTTTAAGTTTTGGTCTCTTTTTGCTCAACATTATTCCTTCTTTTTTCATTTATTTCTTTTCTCTTTTTTAAATTCATTTATTTTTGTTATAGATGTTTCTCTTTTCCCCCCCATTGACACCCTCCTCCCACTCCCCCGCCCCCCCACCCCCGCTCCATTTTCATTGAAGTTTCTGTTTATTTTTACAATGTTCTTCAGTAGGTGAATGAATAAATGATTTGATACATCCGGGAAATGGAATAATGTTCAATGCTAAAAATTAATGTGCTATTAAACCATGAAAAGATGCAGAGGAGGAACCTTAAATGCATATACTTAGTGAAAGGCCAACCCGAAAAGCCTACATACTGCATAATTCCAACTACTGTATATGACACCCTGGAAAAGGCAAAACTGGAAATAGTAAAAAGATCAGTGGTTGCTCATGAGGTTAACGGGATGAATTGGCAGAGTACAGAGGATTTTTAAGGCAGTAAAAACTATTTTGTATGATACTAAGATGGTGTATACCTCATTATATATTTGTCAAAATTCATGGAATGTAGAGCATCAAGAGTGAATCTTAATATAACCTATGGCCTTTGGGTGATTATGATGTGTCAGTGTAGGGTCATTAATTGTAAAAAATGTTCCACTCTGGTGGAGGATATTGATAATTGGGAGGTTGTGTATCTGTGGGGGCAGAGTACATGAGAATTCTGTACTTTCCATGTTCAGTTTTGCTGTGACCCTAAAACTGCGTTAAGAACTAAAATCTTTTTAACTGCTGTTTGACCCAATGATCCCACTTCTGGGAATATATCCTAAGAAACCCAAAACACCATTCAGAAAGAATATATGCACCCCTATGTTCACAGCAGCATTATTTACAATAGCTAAGATCTGGATACAGGTCAAGGGCCCATGAGTAGATGAGTGGGTAAAAAAGCTGTGGTACATTTATAAAATGGAGTACTATGCAGTTTTCAAAAAGAAGGATCTCTTACCCTTTTAGACACCATGGACGGACCTGGAGATTATTATGCTAAGTGAAATAAGCCAGTCAGAGAAAGACAAATACCATATGATCCCATTTACGTGTGGAATCTAATGAACAAAATAAACTGACGAACAAAATAGGTCCAAAGACATTGCAGCATGGAACAGTTGGACAGATAGCAGAGGGAAGGGGGTGGGGTGGGAAGAGATTAACCAAAGAATTTATATGTTTATATGCATAGCCCATTGACATAGACAATGGTGAGGTGAAGACCTGGGGTGGGGCAGGAGCAGGGTGGAGACGGACGAAGGGGGAAAAATGAGGGATATCTGTAATACTCTCAACAATAAAAATTAAAATAAAAAAAAATCTATTTTAAAAATTCTCATAATGGAAACAAAGGCTGTCGTTTTAGCTATCTGGCCAGGTCTTACACCAGCTAGTGTATTGCAATTTAGTCCTGACACTAATCACCCTGAGTTATTGTCAGGCTTCGCAGGTATAAGGACAGAGTCACCAATAAGACTGTCACCACTTCAGACACCAGCTGCAAGTCAGGTCCCCAGGCTACTCACACTTCTGGCCAACTAGTGTACAAATCAGGAGGGTTCCCAGTACTCCCCTCACAAGACTGCTCTCACTTCAGATGCCAGTTGCCAATTCAGAGGTCTCAAGGCCACTTGCACGTCTGACCAATTAGCTACAAAATGGAGGTTTCCTGTAACCACTCTCAGGTTTAAAATTTGGTAGAATGACTCACAGAACTCAGGGAAATGCTATGCTTATTATTACAGTTTTACTATAAACAATATAAATTGGAACCAGTTAAATGGAGAGATACATAAGGCAAGGTCTGAAAGGGTCCTGAATGTGAAGCCTTGTGCCCTGCTCTTATCCTGGCATCAATGAATGAACCAATTAGGAAGCTCCCCTGTGCTGCAGGGTCCAGAGTTTTTATTGGAATTTTATGACTTAGGCATGATTGACTAAGCATTGGCCACAGGATTCAACTAAATTTCCAGCCTTCCCCCTCTTCTCAAAGTCCCTAATCACATCAAGTCTTTCTGGTGACCAGCCCTGATCCTGAACCATCTTGTTAGCAAAAACTCTAGCCTGAATCAAGATGCTTATTTAAAAACAAATATACTCCTATCATTGAGGAAATTCCAAGGGTTTTAGAAGCTCCTTGCCCAGAACCCAGGACAAAGAAATTTTTTTTTTAAATCCTCACCTGAGGATATTTTTCCATCTCTTTTCAGACAGAGTGGGAGGGAGGGAGGGAGGGAGGGAGGGAGGGGTGGGTGGAAACATCAGTGTGAGAGAGACACATTGATTGGTTGCCTCCCATAGGACCCTGACCAGGGCTGGGGACGAACTGTAACTGAGGTACGTTTATAGTACCTTGACTAGCCCTTGAGTAGAATTCAACCCATGACTCTGGTCTGTGGGCCGATACTCCAACCGCTGAGCCAAACTGGCCAGGGCACAAGACAAATTCTTTATTAGATAATACTAGGCTTTCAAAAAATGGTAGCCCTAGAGAAACCTAATCGTTTTGTTTGTTTGTTTGTTCATTTTTTTTAAATTTGAAAATATACTGTGGAAGTTTAGGTGACTGAAAAGTATTTAAGATTAATAACTGATTTATAGATGTCTGTATTAGTCTGGTTTTAAATTATATCAAAGAAAGAATGTCCAGCCTATAGAAAAGTCTTAAAATAGTTTATTTGAGCCAAATGTTGAGGACATACCTAGAAGAAAAATCTCAACTGATTGAGAAAGTGCTCTGGAGAATGGCAGTTTTACATTTCCTTTTCTGCATTTAGAATAAAAGAAAATATAAGGAGGGTCACATGAAATCCATTGGTGGTAGATTAAGGCGATTGGAGAAGGCAAAGGGGGGGAATCTCTAGGATTGGATAAAAGGCAAAATGGAGAAACACATACTTCTTTTACATTGGTGGGTACAGAATAGTTAATAATTTACATTGACAGTACATCGGGATGGTATATAGGGAACAGTATTAACAATGAGGGGTTCTGTGGTCATGTACTCGGTGATTTTGTGCTCTGGTGCCTGCAGTTAAGTCTTCAAGGGGTCTGGAAAGGAAAATTACTCTGGCAACCTACATGCATAAGAACAATGGGCAGAGTTCACTTAAGGTGAAGATTGACCATTGCTAAGGAAGCTATAGTGACTACCCACCATGGCCTGTACAGTGAGGAATTTATGATCAGACCATCCTGTGTGGTTACTTTTGCTCACTGAGCTTGTCAGTCCTGCCATGTGGCTCCCTGAGCTTGTCAGGGTTATTATATAGCTCCTTTTTCTTTTTTTTAATTCCTCACTCGAGGATATTTTTTCACTTATTATCAGATAGAGTGGGAGGGAGGGAGGGAGAGAGACAGAGAGAAATATCAATGTGATAGAGCCACATCGACTAGTTGCCTTCCACATGACCCCACCAAGGCCAGGGACAAACCGCAACTGAAATATGTGCCCTTGACCAGAATTGAACCTGTGACTCATTGGCCCGCAGGCCGACGCTATAACCGCTGAGCCAAACTGGCCAGGGCTAGCTCCTTTTTTATTCAGTTTTCCAACTCTTTTCGCTATAGTTCTTAAATCTTTATACATCATGCCGTTAGAATTTCATATTTATGATTTTGATGCATAAATGAATTTCTTTTGATACAAAGTATGTAGAGAGGAATTTACTTAGAAAGGTTGAGCCAGTAGAATAACATGAACCTTTCCAGTTTTTACTCACACTGTAAAATAAATGGATGACTTTAAAAAGGTTTTTTTTTTTTTTTTGAGGGGGCTGTAGGTTGCTCCGTTGGACTAACTTTCCTCTCTAATAGCAAATTATTTTAGAGTGCACCCACTTTTCCAAGGAAGTGCTTAGTTCTGTTTTTCTCTTGCAGATTGATTATACCGGAATAGACCCTTCCAGTCCCTGCAATAAATGTTTGTCTCCGAATGTGACACCTTGTATTTGTACCATTAACTTCACACTGGAACAGTCTTTTGAGGTCTGTATTTTCAAGTAATGTGTTTAAAAAGCCATGTTTTAAAAAATGTTGACATTTTATTAATTTTTTTGCTAGTCTTTTTTTTTATGGGGAAGTCACTTTAATTTGAGTTTATACACTTAAAAAAATTTTTTTAAATTGATTTTTAGAGAGAGAGGAAGGGAGAGGGAGAGAGAGATAGAAACATCAATGAGAGAGAACATTGATTGGCCACCTCCTGCATGCCCCCCACTAGGGATCAGGCCCACAACCTGGGCATGTGCCCTGACTGGGAATTGAGCCGGTGACCTCTTGGTGCATGGGTCAGTGCTCAGCCACTGAGCTACACTGGCTGGGCTGAGTTCATATACTTTTGAGGAAGATTATTATTTTTTGGCTATTGAATTTATGCTGTCTGGTAATTAAATACATGTATTTAAGTAGTTTATTTTAGTTAATACTTTATAAACTAAATTTAAAACGTCGTTTCTTTTCACTAGAGAATTTTATTGTACAAATCAGTTTTGATCAAGATTATATCTACATTTACTTGTATTTTAAAAATTGTTCAAATTATTTTACCTACTTCTAATACTAAAACAAGTTTTAATTTAGAAAATAAACACTAATTCACCCATTATTTAATTATATTATTTTTCTATCAGATATGAATTATTACCATTGATGAAAACATTTAGTTAAATCCGTATTGATCTTTTATGCCTTGATAAGCAGTTAGACCAACATCTCTGTGTGGTCTGTGTGTATCTTGTATTCACACTTATCTGTCAATCTTGGAAACTAAGCATAAAGGACATAAAGATTCAGAATAGAAATGGCAAGACCAGTTTGTGCTCTTCTTTTCCAGAAAATTGAGCTTAAAAGTTACTGTTTTATTGGTTAGGGAACAAAACTACTTTAATACATGCCAACTTTTTAGATTTTTCTACACTTGAGTTTTCTGAAAGGAAGTGATGATTCTTGTAGTCCCTGGTAGATGATTGCCATCTAGTGGTTGGAGATGCTCTTGCACTAAAATAAAGGAAAATAATGTTGACTTTTTATAAAAACAAAATAAATGTGGGAAAAGACAGAGTTAATTATTTTACTTTGTTTCAGCAGAAATAACATATAAAATTAAAACACCATAAAATTATATTATTTTTTCAATGTGATGGACAAATTATAAAGATGCATCGGGTTCTTTTTGTCAGAACAGGCAAAATTAAAGAAAGAAAAGAGACTTGTACTGATTTAGAAGCTACATTAGTTTTCCCCCATTAAAAACAGTTATTTCAGAACTTCTCTTCTGCAAAGGTGATCATCTTCAGATTTATTCTTTTGTGGGCTCTGTGTTCTTTCACAAGCCAAACCTTTGAATTGCACTAAAGTCTTTTCAGAGAACTTCAAGTAAGTTATTTTGTCTCAGTATTCATTAAAAGTATCTCTTTTTCAGTTTGTAGATTCAGTTTGAATTTACTTCTTAATTCAGGTGATACTTTTTTTAAAGCATACTTTGTTTCTGTGATATAATTTTGATAACCAAAAGTTTTTATGTAAACATTTTCTTTATGTAGAATAAGAGAGTTTGCAGACATTTAGCATTTGAAAATAGAGCTTTATATTAATGATTGTGTATATAAAAGTAGCAAATCAAATAAAGCATACTTGGAATGTTGTTGAATTTTTCTTTATCCTGTATTCCTTTTATCCTTTTATTTCTTTTTTATTTTTAAAATTTTTGTTGAATTTATGGGGTGACATTGGCTAATAAAATTATATAGATTTCAAGGGTACAATTCTATAATATGTTATCTGCATACTGTACTATGTGTTGACCACCCAGAGTTAGTTCTCCTTTTGTCACCATTATCCCTCCTTTCCTTTAATTCTTTTTAATTGAGGATAAGATTATAAATGATAGAGGTAGCAGCCAGAAAGGAGAAAATAGCTTCATGTTTTTGCTACCTCTAAAAATCTTATATTCAAGATGTCTTTATGGTATTTTTTAATAATTGTGGTATATGTAGGTTACCGTTCTTTTCCAAGTTGTCTCCAAGTTAGCTCCACTGAATACATTAAAATACTTTTCTTGATTATCACAAAGTGATGCATTATCTTAGATACTTTACTAATTATTAATTTATTAATTACTAATATTATATAGTATTCTGTGGAAAAATTTATTATGCCTCAATTTGAGTTCAGAATTATTTAGGCAATAAATGAAAGTTGATGCTAATTGGATAAAGACCAATCTGAATTAGAGAAAATTTTAAATTGAAAGTAGATCAGAATAGGGATGTGTTTTTTGTTTGTTTGTTTGTGTTTTAATCTAACCAGCACTTATTTTGAAGTCTTTAAGGATATTTTCAAAGTTTACTCTTGGATTTTTGCAAGACACCTTCTTTAACCTTACTTACAATTTGTATTATTTTAGATTGCTAGGTACTGCTATAATTCACCCCAATACCTGTTTTAAGTTTTCACAAATTCTAAAAAACTAGTACAGTCCAAAACTATGTAGCTTTTATGTATGCATGACATAATTTTATACTTAATAGTTCTATATGAAAATTTTTTCTTTTTTCTCCAGGGCAATGTGTTTATGTATTATGGACTGTCTAATTTCTATCAAAACCACCGTCGTTATGTGAAATCTCGAGATGATAGTCAACTAAATGGAGATTCTAGTGCTTTACTTGTAAGTAAAATGATGGCATATGAAAAGTGGTTTCTATGAAACAACGAGGCAGTTGTTTAGTTAAAAATGTAAATTTTTCTTTTGTTGTTTTTTTAGAGTTTAAAGTGAAAGAGAGTTTGTTAGTGAAGCGGTGGGACAGAGAGAAAGTACTTACTCCACAGGCAGAGCAGCCAGAAATGTTAATTTTAATAATGCTAGGATGTTATTAAACTTACTTGCCATTTACAGTATCTATCTATATCTATCTATCTATCTATCTATCTATCTATCTATCTATCTATCTATCTATCTATCTCATTAAATCCTCACCTGAGGATATTTTTCTGTTTATCTTCAGGTAGAGTGGGAGGGAGGGGGAAGAGAGAGAGAAACATTGTGTGAAAGAGACACAGCTAATTTCTCAAAAGAAACTGCAGGCCAGAAGGGAGTGGCAAGAAATATTCAGAGTGATGAAAAGCAAGAACCTACAACCAAGATTACTCTATCCTGCAAAGCTGTCATTTAGAATTGATGGCCATATAAAGAGTTTCCCAGACAAGAAAAAGCTAAAGGAGTTCATCACCACCAAACCATTATTATATGAAATGTTGAAGGGTCTTGTTGACGAAAAAGATAAAAAATATGAATAAACAAAATGGCAATGAATACATATCTATCAATAATCGAATCTACAAACAAAATGAACAAGTAGAACAGAAACATTCTCATAGATACAGAGAACATTTTATTGGTTGCCAGATGGGAGGGGTGTTGGGGGAATGGGTGAAGGAGGTGAAGGGATTAAGAAGTACAGATTGGTTGCTGTACTGACAGACCTCAAGGGGAAGGGGGTGGGAAGAAATAAACCAATGAACTTATATGCATATATGCATAACCAATGGACACAGACAACAGTGTGGGGAAAGGCAGGAGGGGGGTGGGAGAGGGGAGGAGGGGGTCAGTGGGGGAAAAATGAGGACCATCTGTAATACATTCAACAAAAAAGATAGGTTTAAAAAAAAAAGTACCTTGAAAATTAAAAAAAAGAAATTAATATTTTAAAAATAAAAATTTCCCTGGCTAAAAAAACAGGAAGAGACACATTGACTGGTTGCCTCCCGCATGACCCTGACCAGGGCCAGGTACAAACCACAACCAAGATACATGCCCTTGACTGGATTCAAACCTGAGACTCATTAGTCCATGGGCCGATGCTCTAACTGCTGAGTCAAATTGGCCAGGGTGCCATTTCTAGTTTGTTTAGTGATGGTTTTTAGTTGAAAATTTTTTTCTGGAATTTATAAAGATTAATGATTTCTGACAGCCAGAAGACATATTACTACTTGCTTGTTTTTAATAGTGTCCTTGAGATTTTTGCTTTATTATGTTCTGTTTGGGTTTGTTCACTATTATTACACTAAGTAAGAATGTGTAAATAAGCTTTTTTCATTTCTGAGATTATGCTCTTCATTTTTTAACTTGTGGGAAGCCTGAGTAGTAAAGTCCAAAGGGTGGGTTACTGAAAAAAACTGTCTTAGGAACTTTTTGAAAATATGATTCCAGAATTCTGCTAATAAGTCAGTGTCTACAAGGGTAGACCTCTGAAATGTCTATTTTTAACAAGCTCCCCTTCTGATGCCTGGCCTGGTTTGGGAATCTGTGGACTAGAGCATCTTAGTTTCCTGACTGTTGTTCAGCTTCTCATAGTAGTGGTTGGTGTACAATATTTTATGTCATTGCTGCCAACCAACAGACTTTCAGATCCAGAGCAATTTAGGATCTCTCAGAAATTGTGAATCTCTTAGAATGTAATTGAGGATCATATTGTGACCAGAATGGTCCTGGTAAGTGTATAGCTGCCCTAAGCTATCCTTTTGGTTTTATTGCTAGTTCCTGTTGTTTGGGATCTTAAGAAGCAATAAGTCTGTTTAAAGAGTCTGGTTAGGGTTGTAATATTTTACAATCTATGTGGGGTTAACTCTGTGGGATCCAATTTTTAGAACTCAAATCCAGAGAAGGTGATGTTCTGTGAGACACACTGAGTTCCTGGGTCTTTCTCAGTTTGTTGATTGGGAACATGGATTGGGTGTGTTCAGAGACCCAAAATGGAATTTAAGACCAGGTCACTTTCAAAAATCTTAAAGATTTTAAGAATGGACAAATTGAAGTCCAAGTAACTCAGCATTATGTGTAAGACTTCACAATCTGATATCAACCTATACTTTAGCCTCATTGTTTTATACTTTATCTGTTTTAAAATACATTTTTATTGATTTTAGAAAGAGAGGAAGGGAGGGGGGAGAGAGAGAAAGAAACATCCATATGAGAGAAACACTGATCAGCTGCCTTCTGCATGCCCCCCACCATTTATTGAACCCTCAGCCTGGCCATGTGCCCTGACTGGGCATCAAACCTGGGACCCTTTGGTACAAGGGACAACTCTGAACCAAATTGAGCCATGCTGGCCAGGCTGTACTTTATCTTTAATGTACCTTTGGCCTTGCTGCTGTGGGCCAAGTGTGCTGTTCCCAAACCATGTGTAATCTGCCCCTTTTGACATTTGTATGTTATTTGCTTAGAATGCTTTTTACTCCTTTCCTAGGGGTTCTCTTATCTCAAGGCCTGCTGTTTTCTTTAGTGCCCTTTGATGTTAAATAACTTCTACATATTGACTTCATTCATACTCTACTTCTTCCCACATCATCCATCTTTGCCCTTCCTTTCTAGGCCATTTTCTGCCTAGCTGCTATAGTGATCTTTATTTTAAACTTTTTTTTATCCTCACTGAGGACATTTTTCCATTTCCATTTTTTGTTCAGATAGAGTGGGAGGGAGAGAAAGGAAGAGAGAGAGAGAGAGAAACCCGGGACTCTGGTCCGCAGGCCAGAGCCATACTGGCCAGGACACTATAGTGATCTTTAAAAAAATAAATGCCACTACTCTGCTTAAAATCTTTCAGCAATTTACTAACACTTGGAGTAGAATCTCAGGATGATCTGAGTTATGCATAACTCCAATCTCATTATATGTTATTTTCCTTATTGCTGTACTATAACTACATTTACCTTTTACCTTCTCAGAAATATCAAGTTCTTTCTCAATGACACATACTGTTCTCTCTGCTTATAACTCTCTTCTGCCTGCTCTTCAGATGGCTGTTTCCTACTTTTCTTTAGGTCTTTACTTATATGATATTACCTCCAGAGACAAAGTTTCCCTTATCATAGATTATAAAGTAGCTCCTCTCATCCTCCCCCGAGTAATTACTTGTATAGCATTTATTACAATTTATAAATATATATTTACTTATTTATCTTATATCTTCCCTCCTACACTATAAGATCATGAAGGCAGAGACCATGACTTTCTTTAATTACCATATATCAAGTGCCTAGTCAGTGCCTAGCACATGGAAGCCATTTAATAAATACACGTTGAATGAATATAAATGCCTGTATCATGGCTCTTATTTCATATTATTGTTGGCTGTGTATGGGTATGTTTCCTCTATTTATTGTAAGCTGCTTAAAAGCAGGGGCTTCATTTTAAAAAACTTTTTGTTTCTGGCACCTTATATGGTACATGATAGGTATCAGGTACTTATTAAATGGCTTTTAAAAGCCAGTTACTTCAAAATACCTAGCATTGCTTAGCTCAGTACCTGATGCATAGGTAGTAAATAATATTTTCCTTTCTTTAAAACTTCCTTAAGAGTTTAGTGGCTAGAATATATTTGCCTTACTAAGAGTTTATTTACATTTAATAACCTTTTTTTGAAATCAGTTTTCATCAAAACATTCAAATAGTAATAGGCCAATTATATGTTATTTATATTCATGGTCTCAGGTACTGACTTTATAAATCTAGATAGCTTAGGGATCAAAAAAGCTGAGAAACTGAATATTAAAGATTATTTGTTTTGAGACATGGTTTAATGTGGCCTTGGAGTCCCAGAACAACTCATATATACACTAATCTCAGACTTGGTACAATCTACATTTAACCCTGCAACTGACACATCTCTTTGAGATCTTCAGTAGGGACTAATGCTCCTTGCCTTACCAGCATTTTCATTTTACTCGTATCTGGATGCACAGTTTAGAGAAGATTGTTATATTCTAGGAATCTGCATTAAACTGACTTCCTCCCTTCCTCCTTCCTTCCCTCAACAGGGGATTTGCCATTATCTAGTTGAACCTGTTAATTTTTTTACATCTTTTTTTTTTTTTATCCTCACCCGAGGACATTTTTCAATATTTTGTTCAGATAGAGTGGGAGGGAGAGAGAGAGAAACATCGACATGAAAGCGACACATTGAGTGGTTGCCACCCACATGACCCAACCAGGGCCAGGGACAGACTGCAACCGAGGTACATGCCCTTAGCAGGAACCGAACCCGGGTCTCTCCAGACTGCAGGCCGATGCTCTAACTGCTGAGCCAAACCGGCCAGGGCGAACTTGTTAATTTTTTATAAGATCTAGATAAATCAAGGGACTTGTCTAAAGTCACATAGTGCACAGGTAGAACTAGAACCTCCAGTCTCTTTACTTCCAGTTTAAGATTCCTTTCATTATGTTACAACTGGATTGACAGTAGATTGCTTCTTAATTTTTCTTGGGCAGAAAACTCTTTGTGGTTATGATTTCTGTGTTGATATGAAAATTTAAAAATACCCATTTGATACATGCCTGTGTGACAAATATATGCAAGGAAAAGCTACATTATAATGATAATACAATAATGTTAAGGACTATATTTGAGTATTTATTCTTTCTTTGTTGATTTTAGAGAGAGAGGAAGGGAGAGGGAGAGACAGAAACATCGATGAGAGAACATTTATTGGCCGCCTTCTGCATGCCCCCCCACTGGGGATTTGGCCCACAACCTGGGCATGTGCCTTGACCAGGAATCACTGAGCTACATTGGTTGGGCTATATTTGAGTATTTAAATGAATTGTTATTTATAGTCTATTTACAATAAAGACTCATTTAGTATGCATTGCAAGTGAGAAGCATATAGGGGGTTGAATTTTTAATCAGTTATTGGGGCTAGCTCATAGTTCTGTTGAAGGTTTGGGTAATAATTTCTCTCTTCTTTTCCTTCTAAACATCAGAATCCCAGTAAGGAATGTGAGCCTTATCGAAGAAATGAAGACAAACCAATTGCTCCTTGTGGAGCTATTGCCAACAGCATGTTTAATGGTATGATATAGACACAAAGATATAAATATAGACATATAAAGTTAGGAAAATTTGTATAACCATATTACAGATTTGATATTTTAGTAATCATGAATGAAATTGAGAAATTCAACAATCTTAAGATAAATGTATTAATTAGTAATTCAGTGGAGTAGTAGTATAATGCTTTGTGACTTTCTTTTGAGAATTCTTCTAGTTTAAGAATGAATTTCTGTTTCTGGAAAGAAAAACAGAGACATTGTGCTAACTTTTCTATTTCATAATAAAATAAAAGCCAGGTTACCTTTCCCACGAACTTTGAATATTTATATCATTAAAAGATGCTACAGTTGATCATGTAGTGCAGCACTGTCTAATATAAATATAATGTGAACCATCAATGTGAGACATGTATATAATTTTAAGTTTTCTAGTAGTTACATTAGAAACAATAAAAAGAAGTGAAATTAATTTTGAATTAAATTTATTGGGGTAATGTTGGTTAATAAAAGTATATAGATTTCAAGTATACAGTTCTATAGTACATCATCTTTATATTGCATTGTGTTGTATTTACTACTCAAAGTCAGATCTCCTTCTGTCACCATATATATGATCCTCTTTACCCTTCACCACTCCCTAACCGCCTTTCCCTCTGTTAACCACCATACCGTTGTTGTCTGTTCATGAGTTTTTGTTTGTTCATTTGTTGCTTTCAGTTTTATATTCCATATGAGTGAAATCATATGGTTCTTGACTTTTTCTGTCTGACTTATTTCACTTATCATGATAATCTCAAGATCCATTCATATTGTTGCAAATGGCAGTATTTCATCTTTTCTTATGGCTGAATAGTGTTCAATTTTGTATATGTACCACATATTCTATTTTTTATTTTTTTAATCCTCACCCAAGGAAATTTTTTCATTGATTTTCAGATAGAGTGAAAGGAAGGAAGGAGGGGGGAGAGAGAGAGAGAGAAACATCAATATGAGAGACACACTGATTGGTTGCCTCCTGCATGACCCTGACCAGGGCCAGGGATCAAACCTGCAACCCAGGTACGTGCCCTTGACCTCATACTGAACCCAAGACCCTTCGGTTTGACGGTCAATGCTCTAACTGCTGAGCCAAATCGGACAGGGTGTGTACCACATCTTCTGTATCCAATCTTCTATTGAGGAACAACTCGTTTCTATGTCTTGTCAACTGTGAATAATGCTGCAATAAATGTAGGGGTGCAAATATGTTTGCAAATAAATGTTTCCAAATTTTTAGGGTAGATATGCAGAAGAGGGATTCTGAGTCATATGGTAACTCCATTCTTAATTTTTTGAGTAATCTCCGTACTCTTTTCCATAGTGGCTATACTGGTTTACATTCCCACCAGTAGTGAATAAGGGTTTTTTTTTTTTAAATCAAACTAAGAAGCTTCTGCACAGCAAAAGAAACCATCAACAAAACAAAAAGGCCACCAACTGAATGAGAGGAGATGTTTGCTCTGACAAGGGGTTAATATCCAAATAAAAAACTCATACAACTCAACAACAAAAAACAATCCAATTAAAAAATGGGCAAAGGGCCCTGGCCAGTTTGGCTCAGCAGTTGGAGCGTCGGCCTGCGGTACAGAGAGACCCGGGTTCGGTTCCTGCCAAGGGCACGTACCTCGGTTGCAGTTTGTCCCCGGTCCTGGTTGGTTGTGCGGGTGGCAGCCACTCGATGTGTCCCTTCACATCGATGTTTCTCTCTCTCTCCCTCTCTCTCCCTCCCGCTCTATCTGAACAAAAAATGGAAAAATGTCTTCGGTTGAGGATTAAAAAAAAAATGGGCAAAGGACCTGAACAGACACTTCTCCCAAGAAGACATACAATTAGCCAACAGATCTATGAAAAGATGTTCAACTTTACTAGCTATCTGTGAAATGCAAATCAAAACTGCAATGAGATACCACCTCACACCTGTTAGAGTGGCTATTATCAACAAAACAAGTAATAACAATGTTGGAGAGGTTGTGAAATTAATTTTAATATTTTATTGAACTCAGTATGCTCAAAACATTTCAGCATATAAATGACATGCATTATATAAAAGTTATTAATGAGATTTTATATTCTATTTTTTGTACTAAGTCTTTGATACTTGATGTATATTATTTATTTACAAAACATTCATTTGGACCAGCCGTAATTTCAAAGGCTCTGTAGCCATGTAACCACTGGCTATTGTATTGGACAGTGCAGATAGAGAAATGGATAAACCAGAAGCTACTTAGGAATGCATTTTTTTAAAGGAGAGGAGAGGTAGATTTACAAATTGTTTTATTTAGATTAATATTAAAACATTTGACCCTATCGTATGTCAGCTAGCCATATAGGGAAGTAACCTAGAACTGTATTGAGGGAAGAGAAGTCCATCTGGGGTTATAAAGTTATTATAGTTAATTCACATATAAATATCAAGAGCAAATGTACATCATATGCCTACTATGTTACCACCACCTTTGGAAGCAAATACCAGATCCTCATTTCTCATAAAGCTGCTATTATGGATTTTCAATATTTAGCAATATGTTCCTTTTCTTGTGTTTAGATACATTAGAATTGTATCAGGTTGGCAATGGATCTAATATGAAGCCAGTTCCTTTGAAAAAGAAAGGTATTGCTTGGTGGACAGATAAAAATGTGAAATTCAGAAATCCCCCTGGAGAAGGCTCCCTAGAAGAGCGATTCAAAGGTAAAATATTACTATTATCTGTTTAAAACATAATATAAGCTAGGAGTTTTAATAAAGTACCTAAAACTTTCTGTCTAGAATCCTAAGAAAGTTTATGCTTTTTAAAAACAACTACTTTTCTAAACTTCATACATAGTAAGGTAAAAGTATGTAGTCTGTTCCAATGTTCTGAAATCCTAAAGGAAATGTAAACTTTTGATCTTGAATTTCTCTGGTGTTTTCTTAAAAGCATTTCAGTCATAATATTTTAAAACTGCAGCAAAGTTTCTTTTAAACAAACCGCAATTATTTATTATAAATCCAACTTTACTTTTGTTTCTATATCTCCATATAATGGTAATATTTCATACCATTGTATCTTTGCATTAAATTGTCTGCCTTTTGGTATAGACTCAATAGTCTACTTTTAGTATTCTCTTGAGATAGCAAATCTTCGTAATTATGTTAATTTGTTACATGAGGAATTGGTTTCTATCTAGATTTAAGACTTCCTTACGATATGAATGTATTCCTAAATTTGAAAATGAGAAAAATATTCCAATTGTGTATTGCATATCTTTGTTTTATTAGAGTATGAATTTGAATTTTTATTGAAACTCTTAATTGAACAGAATATTTTCCCTCCTTTTTAAGGTACAATAAAACCAGTAAACTGGCCGAATCCAGTATACCTACTGGATTCTGATCCAGATAATACTGGGTTCATAAATGAGGATTTTATTGTTTGGATGCGTACTGCAGCGTTACCTACTTTTCGTAAGTTATATCGTCTTATAGAGCGGAAAAATGATTTGCATCCAACGTTACCAGCTGGAGATTACTATTTGAATATAACATACAGTATCCTTTTTTGGCCAGGTGCACAGATTCATAGAATTTGAGAAGAGTATATTCCAACCTTCTCTTAGTTATGTGGTATGCTACTTTGTGTTTGAGTTTTGATCTCTGCATTTTTATAAGAGTATATGTATGGGAAAGTATTTTTTGATACCTTACATTTTTATATTTAAAATTTTTTTAAAAGCTAGTACTTTGTACTAGGGTTAAAGATATTATTTGGTAAAATTATTTAAAATGTAGGTTCTGGATTTACTGGTAAGCTAGATATTTTTACTTGGGTGATTGTAACTGAACTTAATGGAAAAACCAGTCAGAATACCTAATAATAAACAAATGTTAGTGGTACTAGGCTGTTTTAATGTAATTTTTTTTTGGATATTAAAAATCAACAGATATATTAATTCATATCAACATAATTGTTTCTAATTATTGCTCTATTCATAGTACCAAAACATTTTTATCATTAGCTGTATTTTGCCACATTAATAATTTAGATGTGATTTTCAGTGCTGATAAATATAATTTGTTTCATTCTGACTATATGTCAACATTGTACTAAGTACTTTCCATGCATTTGTTTACTTAAGTCAAGGTTTATGAGGTAGTTATTATCTCCATATTATAGACAAGATTGCAGGAACATAGAGCATTTAAGTAACTTGCCCGAGATTACGTAGGAAATAGGTAGAAGAGTTGGGGCTCACAGACAAGCTGTTGACCCCAAAGGCCATGACTTTACCATCACCACCACTATAGGTTGCATCCCTAGCTAGTTTAGTCCAATCCATATCAGCCTAGATGCAGTCTTTCCTAAGACAGAAATATTGAGCACTACCTTTTATTCAAAACAAAATCCTTAAAATTTTAAATTTCTTGTTTATTGTTTGTATATCTTATGAATGAAAAATTTCTTAAATTATAGCATTTAAATGTTTGCTGATGACCTGATAGTAACAGATTGAAAGTGACCAAGTTTTTTTTTTTTTAATCTTCACCTGAGGATATTTTTCCATGTTTCTTCAGATAGAGTGGAAGGGAGGTAGAGAGAGGGAGAGAGAGAGACACATCAGTGTGAGAGAGACATTTTGACTGGTTGCCTCCCACACAACCCTGACGAGGGCTGGGGACAAACTGCAACCAAGGTACGTACCCTTGACCGGAACCAAACCTGCAACTCATTGGTCCACAGGCTGACACTGTAACTGCTGAGCCAAACTGGCCAGGGCAAAAGTGACCATGTTTTTTAAAATAGGTCCACATAGGAGCAATTTTGGACAGACAGACCCTATTCAGGTGCTAGTAGAAAGAACATTATCCTGAGACTGTAGCCTAAGTAGAGAGCAGCTGTGTCACAGTATCCAAACCTGAAGCCTAGAGTACAATAAAGGAAAGTCAGTGGAGCACTCTGGGGTTCTTAGTTGACAATTCCAGGCATTGAGATGAGAACTGTCAGGAGACTGCAGGATATAACTGAAGATTGACAAGATGGGCCTGCAAAACAGCAAGAGTTAATTATAAAAACTAGGTATAAGGTAGATATTAGAATTAAGGCAGAAGCCCATTTTTTTAGTTTTGTGATACAGAGAGATGCTAGCATGGGTGATTTCAGACTGTGGCCCTCAGAGTGCAGGGTTAGTTAGAGCTCTTATAACCTCAATCAATGTAAATTGATTTAAGAAACTAATAGAGCCCTGGCCGGTTTGGCTCAGCGGTTAGAGCATCGGCCTGCAGTCCGGAGAGACCCGGGTTCGGTTCCCGCTAAGGGCACGTACTTCGGTTGCAGTTTGTTCCCGGCCCTGGTTGGTCGTGCGGTGGCAGCCACTCTATGTGTCCCTTTCACATCGATGTTTCTCTCTCTCTGTCTCTTCCTCTCTCTCCCTCCCACTCTATCTGTACAAAAAATGGAAAAATGTCCTCGGGTGAGGATAAAAAAAAAAGAAAGAAACTAATAGAGCTGAGCTTGCCATATGGAGTCATTTGGACTGCTGCAGAAGCCCAGAGAAATGGATGAGGTTTAAAACTTGATTTAGAAGATGCTTTTTGAAAGGCTGTAAACCTTTTACATAAGGACTTAGTTCATCTAGTTCTGTCTTCTTTTCTGATGTCACTGTTGCTAAAATCCTAGAGCTGGTCCATGTAGATAGCTCATCTAATGCACTGGTATCTCATTCTTAAATCTCTTTCACTTCCACTTTGTTTTAGCCATCACCTCTCTTTGTCACACCATGAGTTTTCTCATTATTCCAAATTAGCAAGTTAGAACTTCGGTATCATGCTTTTTTACCCTGTGCTACACATGCTCTTTGAGCTCTAATCCCTTCATTCTTTCCTTGTCTCTTGGTCTGTCAACCTCCTCTTCCTTTAAGGGTTTAATTGCTATTCATTTGAAATATTTTTTCACATTAATTTCTTTGTGGTTTTTTGCCCACCTGTGCAATGAGAGCACAAGTACCCGAGAAACAAAATAACTGTTAAAATTGGTTGTTTTTGCTTGCAGACTATATTGGCTTTTACTACTAACATTAAATTTGCTAAACCAGTTCTTCAAGATAATTACACAATTATTTTATAATTCAGAACGTATGAGTAAGGTTCCTGTATATCATAGAATTATACCAGTGAATTACAAGCAATTAAATGCTAACTTTTAAAGGTGTATTTTAAAAATCAAGTCACTAATTATGGGAAAGTTTTCCTATTCACTCTTCAGATTACCCTGTACATTCTTTTGATGGACGAAAACGGATGATCTTAAGCACTATTTCATGGATGGGAGGAAAAAATCCATTTTTAGGGATTGCTTACATCGCCACTGGATCCATCTCCTTCCTTCTGGGAGTTGTACTACTAGTAATTAATCATAAATATAGAAACAGTAGTAATACTGCTGACATTACCATTTAATTTTATATTCAGAAAACAAATTTAACGCATGTACATCAAGGCCAGTTCTATTCAACCTAGCTTTTGAATGCTGATGTCCGGTTAGTATGTCATTTTTGAAGTTGGCACATAACTTTATATTTAAAAAACAGTCTTTGTCCTTTGCTTCTTTCTTATGGATAACTTATAAAAATATATGACGGGTATAAAACAAATTAGCTATATTGATCATGTCAGCACTGTAACTGCTGAAATGGCATAATGTTTTCTTTTTGTTGGGACAGGCCATATGATGCATAGAGCCTCTATCATGTGAAATGTGTCTACTGCTTAAATGTTTATGCTGTGTTGATAAATATTATATTGACATATGTGCTGTATATGTGTGCCTATTGTGTAAAGAGAGGGGGTTACAAGATGTATGAGTATAATGACTTGCTAACCTTTCAGGATTCAGGGTTATGAAAAGGTGAAGAAAGACCAAATCTAAATAAAACACTTCATCATTTTCATGTGTCGTGTGTAAAGGCTTAAAGTACCTTCTTTGGTGAGGTGGTTCATGTAGTTAATTTATCCAGTACAGTTCTTTGTCAAGCTTAGTTTTGATTTCACCTTTGAAATCTTACCTTGTGTAGCATAGAAATTTATGTTCATGTCTGAAGAGGTCAAGTAGGAGAATTTAAAATTCCTCTTTGCATTTGGTTAAGATGTTGCAGTCAGGAACCCCAGTTCACTTGATAAGTTTTTACATGTGATCATGGAAATACCTCAAGCTATTTTTATTTTGCAGGTAAGTGTATTGACTTAAGCACTAATATTACATTGCAGAAATTTTAGAAAATAGTAAGCTTCATTTTCTCTATATTTCATTCAGTTTTCTCATATAGGTCAATTATGGATGTGTATGCACATTCTCTTTAGTTAATGCATCAGTTGTTTTGGTTGGTTTTCCTAAGACATAGTGTGTGTGTGTGTGTGTGTGTGTGTGTGTGTGTATTTTTTTAAATCCTCATCTGAGGATGTTTCTTTTTAATTGATTTTAGAGACAGAGAGGAAGGGAAGGAAGGAGGAAGGTAGGGAAGGAGAGAGAGAGAAACATTGATCCATTGGTTGCCCCCACATGTGCCCAGACTGGGGATGGAACCCACAACTTTGGTATGTGCCCTGACCAGGAATCAAACCTGTTAACCTTTTGGTGTACAGGATGATGCTTCAACTGACTGAGCCACCCGGCCAGGCCTAAGACATATTTTTAAAAGAGGTTCTTTAAATTTCCTTATTAAATTCTGGAGATTTTTGAGTACATGATAAATTATAATATATATGGTTGAAACTATTGTATTTTCTATTAACTGGAATTATTGTAATATTCCTTATTGAATAAAGGGTGTAATTTTGTTTGCTATGAAACTTATTCTTGAATGTAAACTTATTTTTCCACATTCATGAAAATGTAGGTCTTAATTAGAGGGCTTAATTTACATTGAAAAAAATTTTTTTTACTCATGTTTATATAGAAGAATGCCTGTTTGTTTAGTTGATAATGGTTTCCTTCAGTTATGTTTTAAATAAAAAGATCTGGGTAATGTATCCATTTTGATTAATAACTTTTTTAAAAAACAAAAAAATAATGTAATGGTTAATAATAGAAATGTGCCACATTTAAGTTTTGTATAATGTGACTTTTAACTGGTAGAATAATACTTGCATGAGGTACTTAATATATGATTATCCTGAAATTTCTGAGTACATAGGGTATTTTTGTTTTGTCAATCCTTCAGAATATTATTATTTGTTCTGATAATAGACCCTCTTACACGTGGCAGTTGATCTGGGATACGTCATTGGAGGAGAGGGGTTTCTGCCAGTTTTCCAGATTTAGTTTGTTCTGTTTAAGGAGGACTGTCTTTTTCTAATTGGGGGACCAAAGGTGCTGCTAAAGAAAAGTTGAAGAGACCTTCCAGTACTTTCTCATCTGTGGTGAAGATGGAATCTTAAAATATATTTGGAGTTTTGTCTATTTTATAACTACATTGATGGCTTCAGCTTCTTCTATCTCCTACTATTTGAGCTCTAAGGGATTCCTGTTGGTAAATATGAAGAATGTGGAACATTCATATGGCTTCTGGAAAGCAAGGGGGGAGAGAGAAAACATTTCTTTCTTCTGGGCTTTATGCTCATTTTTTAATTAATGTAATATTCAACTTTCAAAGAATTATGTTGCATTTTAAGACAACTAGGTTAAATAGAAGGCATTAAAGAATGCATTAATTTACAGGAAGTATTTTGAAATATGTTTCTCAATTGAAGGAATTATTTAATAAGTAAAAACTGAGAAATTTAATTGAAATAATAAGGCAGTTTAAAAATAAATTGGTAAAAATAACTGTTATCAAATAGAGAATTATTCAACCAAGAGGAGAGTTAAGTGAATATTACTTATTGGTTAGTAAGTTTATTTGTAACTTTATGTTAAAAGATAACTTTCTGTTAGTATGTTCTGTATTAATAAAAATGAACAAAATTAATTTTGTGATGTTCAAGTGTCTTCCTAAAATAACAGTGCCCTGGGGTTGCTAATGTTTAGCAGTAAATTTTAGCTCAGGTCACTGAGTCCAAGTTTTAGCATTTCCATGCCTAGATTTGATTGCCATATGTATATATAGTGTATTAATCACTCTGATGGCATTAACTGCAAGATTATCTGTATTATTGAGTAACATTTGTTCTTACCAGGAAGTGGTCAGATTGTTACTTGGGTTATAGACAGAAGGACTAAATTCATATTAGATCATGGGAAATGTCTAGTAAATAGAAAATGAAGATGTGGTATAGAGAGGCAAGGATGATGAAAATAATGGAGTGAGTGGGGCACACAGGAAATGAAAAGCCAGACTAGGAAGGAGGAGCAGCTGAGAGAGAGGTAGGGTTAATGCTATTTAGTCTTTCACCTCCTGTCTTCATGGAAACACTGCTTGAGAATTACAGTATTTCTTTGTTGGTTAAGTTGCAAAGTTTTGTTCTTTGTGAACATGGCTACTTTGAGGGAAAGATAGAGGAGGGAGTAAGGAAGTACTTTCTTAAGAAGAATTTTGATGGATAAATGTTTGTTGTAGAGTTTGGACAATCTAGTGAAATGTTTTAGAGCCTCTTTATAGCCAATGCCCCATTCAGTAAATATAAAAATCACATTGCCTTTCTGGGAGTTCATTACTGGTGTATAAGAATGCCGTCTATTTCTTGATGTTAATTTTGTATCCTGCTACCTTGCCAAATTTGTTTATTAAATCTAGCAGATTTCTGATGGAGTCTTTAGAGTTTTCTATGTATAATATCATGTCATCTGCAAATACACCAATAATGAACTCACAGAAAGAGGAACTAAAAAAATCCCATTTACCATTGCACCAAAAAAATTAAGCTACCTAGACGTAAACTTAACCTAAGAAGTAAAGGACCTATGTGCAGAAAACTACAGGATATTGAAAAAAGAAATAAAGGAAGATATAAAAAAGTGGAAGCACATACCTTGTTCATGGATTGGAAGAATTAACATCATTAAAATTTTTATACTGCCCAAAGCAATCTATAGATTCAATGCAATCCCCATCAAAATACCAACGACATATTTCACAGAACTAGAACAAATACTTCAAAAGTTCATATGAACCAAAAAAGATCCTGAATAGCCACAGCAATTTTGAAAAAGGACAAAATAGGTGGGATCACAATACTGGATATCAGGTTATACTACAAAGCTACTGTAATCAAAACAGCCTGGCACTGGCACAAGAACAGGCATATAGAACAGTGGAACAGAACAGAGAACCCAGAAACGGACCCAAGGCAATATGCTCATTTAATATTTGATGAAGGTGGCAAGAGCATACAGTGGAGTCAAGACAGCCTCTTTAATAAATGGTGTTGGGAAAATTGGACAGCTACATGCAAAAAAAAAAAGAAAAAAGAAAAAGAAAGAAAGAAACTAGACCATCAACTTACACCATACACAAGAATAAATTCAAAATGGATAAAAGACTTAAATGTGACTCATGAATCCATAAAAATCCTAGAAGAAACTGTAGGCAACAAAATTTCAGACATCATATGCAGCAGAATTTTCACTGTTAACATCACCCAAGGCAACAGAAACAAAGGAAAAAAATCAACACATGGGACTACATCAAAGTAAAAAGCTTCTGCACAGCAAAAGAAACAAGCATCAAAATGGAAAGGCAACCCACTGTATGGGAGAGCATAACTGCCAATGATACATCAGATAAGGGGTTAATTTCCAAAATATATAGAGTGCTCATACAATTCAAAAAAAGGAAGACAAAGGACCCAATTAAAAAATGGGCAGAGGACCTAAATAGACACCTCTCCAAACAGGACATACAAATGGCTAAGAGATATATGAAGAAATGCTCAACATCACTAATCATCAGAGGGATGCAAATTAAAACAACTATGAGGTATCACTTCACACTTGCCAGAATGGCTGCCATCAGTAAATCATCAAACAACAAGTGCTGGTGAGGGTACGGAGAAAAGGGGACTCTAGTACACTGCTGGTGGGAATGCAGATTGGTGTAGCCACTATGGAAAACACTATGGTGTTTCCTCAAAAAATTAAAAATTGAATTGCCATTTTACCCAGTGATCCCGCTTCTAGGAATATATCCTAAGAAGCATGAAACACCAACCAGAAAGAATATATGTACCCCTATGTTCATAGAAGCACTATTTACAATAGTTAAGATCTGGAAATAGTCCAAGTGTCCATCAATAGATGAGTGGACAAAAAAGCTGTGGTACATATATACAATGGAATACTGTACAGCTGTTAGAAAGATCTCTTATCATTTGAGATGACATGGAGGGACCTGGAGAGTATTATGCTAAGTGAAAGAAGCCAATCAGAGAAAGACAAATACCACATGATCTCACTTATTTGTGGAATATGATGAACAGGGTGGACTGATGAATGAAGTAGACCCAGAGACAGAAAAGAGTATGGTTCAGACTGACAAATCTAAGAGTAGCGGGGCGGAGGGATGGATGAGATGAACCAAAGAACTTATATGCATGTATGCATAACCAGTGGACATAGACAACAATGCTGGGGGTTAGGATGGGGAGGAGAGTGTTTAGGGGAGGGAAAGGAGAAACATCTGTAACAAAAATAAATTAATAAAAATCAGAAAAAAATAATCTTCCTAGAAAACTTAAAAAATAAGCAATCACATTGCCCCTAATGTTACTGAAATTTCAAAATAAATCATACCATGGTGACCTTATTTGCTTTTTCATATCTGTAAAATTTATCAAAGTAACATACACAGTTAAAAATCTAAAGGCCTCCCTGGCCAGCATTGCTCAGTGGTTACAGCATCGGTCCACACACCAAAGGGTTGCAGGTTTGATCCCTGGCTTGGGTCAGGGCACATAGAGTTGGCAACTAATCCATGTGTCTCTCTTATATTGATGTTTCTCTCTCTCCCCACCTCCCTACCTTCCACTCTCTAAAAGTCAATGGAAAAAATAACCTCAGGTAAGGATTAATAAAACAAAAAAAATCTAAAGGCTTTATGATGAATAACAGTAGTCCCAGCTTACTATACCTTCCAGAGACAATCATTTGACTCCAGAAGTTGTTTATTTTGGTATTTATGTTAGTGTATTTAATATGCCAATTCTACTGTTGTCTGATTTAACACTTGTAGACATTATCTTGATATTACCAGATAATTCAGCTCTCTAACACACATACCACCCCTTCTACCATTATAGTTATGTCATAATATTTACTAAATGCATTAGTTGTTTTAATTATACTGCAGTGCAGAGCAGTGCACCATGGTTACATTTTGCATAATTTTTTTCCAACTTCTCAGTTTTCCAACTTCTCAAGTTCTCACTGGAGAGGTCTGTTCTGCATTTGTCTTCTGTGCGAATCTGTGCTGATTGTTTTCTTGTCTGGCCTCACAGCCATTATCCCATGA